GATCTTAGATGAATTTGGCTATCTGTTTTATGAATTTTTGTCATATAGCTCTTCAACTGTTTCGGTACTTATACATCCCTCGGATTTCAAATGTTTGGCTTTGAGCGTTCATGATGAAGGTAAATCCAGAAAAGCGCTTCGGACGCATGGAATTATGAAACGTGTTGTTTTCAATTTTTTGTTGCAACATCAAAATAATGTTTTTTACAATTAATCTTGAAGGGGAGAAACTTGCATTTATGATAAGATTTTGAAAGTAACTATTAAACAGGGTTTCGGTTATTGGCACACACACCTATTTATTCTTGAAGCAAAGCTTGTTAAGAGCAGATATTAAAATTGTTCTGGAAAATATTTTCTTATTCTTAATAGAAGAACTCGTTGGCTGGTGTTGAAACCCTCACTAGTCTCTGATGTGTGTAAAACATATGCTTTTATCCGTACTGAACTGTTTGAAGTCCAACAACTAGTCATTCCCAAAAATAAACAATCGAGCTTGAATTATTCACTAAATCCGAATTATGTTTGATGTTTGAAATGCCCAGTTATTACGACATATTTCTACACTACAATGCACAGATATATACTACAACCACTTTTAAGCTCCTCCAGTCTTAAGGATCTAGTATCAGAGATAATGATATCGCTTAGTGTGAGTGTTGGTCGCCTGTCATCATGGTCATGTTGACTTTCTTATCTGAAACTATTTTGGCAAATCAAAACCAAACTAGGCAGAACTTGTAAATAGAATAACTTTTACAAACTATTTAACATTGGTTGACATACAAAACAAACAAAATGGCAACCAGAGGTAAGAAGTTTGGGCAACATATTTTAATAACTATCTTTCCTGTACAAGTATCCACCTGAAATAACAGAAAAGGAAATTAGAAGATTGTGATTATTTATTACAGTAGGAACTTTTATTTAACGCCGTAACAATTAAAGAGTCATATCACCGGACCAATGAAAAGGCATTATAGCCTTCCTAGATATCTTTGGTTTTAAGAGGTTTGGGCTGTTTCAAAATAAAAATCTAGAGATATGGTACGGATGTCACTGAGACAATTATTCGCCAAAGTTCACATGAAGTGCAAAATTAGCAATTCTGGGCAACTGAACGGCCTTCAACAATGAGAAAAAAGGCCCCGACATGAAAAATAATCAATTGAGAAAACTAACGGCCCAAGTTATGACACAACTATTTACGACATAAACCAACGACTGTACTCCAGATTCCGGCACATATATAATATGGCGGGGATAAACATGTCTGAAGGCACCAACCCTCCCCTAACCTGGAACAGAGGTGAAACAGTACAACACAAGAACAAGAACAAGAACTATAAAAATCAATTGACAAGGGCTTCAATTATTAGATCGTTAGATCTAACAAAAAAACTGGACGTGGCAGGATATTTATACATCCCTTAAAAAAAAAAGAACACAAACCGTACAGATCATAAACTGTTTGAAAAAATTAAAGTTCTAAAGGTGATCCTTGCTAATAGATTAATAAATGATGTGCAATAGCACGTCGCAGTACACTAAAGCAGAAACATTGTATACTAGTAGTATTGTATCTTTTAAATATTAAGCTTTTTCATTTCCCGACTTCGATCTTCCGTACAAGGATGAAACTGTTAAGAGGACAAGCTAAAACAAAAAATCCATAACTTATTAATAGCTGTCAATAACATTAGCAGAAACGTACAGGATGAATAGTCCACACAAAATATATATGCCAACACAAACCCTTTTAAAAAACTCGGGATGAACGCAGAGACCCGAACATTTTGTTAACACAAGACAACAAATTCAAATAAATGATACATATTGATCGATTCCTTGACAATTAGTTACAAATTCAAATTTGAAAAGCAACAAAGCTGCGAGATTTATAAATGAAACAAGTGAAGGACCTCAATGTCATATCGTTAACTGCCTAAAAGCTTTATACATGCTCACTTGTAGTTGATTTGTTTTTAAATTTCTCATTTCAATAATAAGAATGCATGATTTAGTGTTGACATGTACCAAAATAAAAATAAAAAAAATACTGAACTACGAGGAAAATTCAAAACGGAAAGTCCCTTATCAAATGGCAAAATCAAAAGCTCAAAGACATCAAAAGAATGAATAACAACTGCCATATTTTTGACTTGGTACAGGAATTTTCTCATGTACAAAATGATGGTTTAAACCTGGTTTTATAGCTAGCTAGACCGCTCACTTACATGACAGTTTCATCAAATTTCATTATATTGACAACGATGTTTGAACAAAACAAACATACATAATAGGTAAAAATGTCAAAAACAGGGGTACAGCAGTTAACATTGTGTTATAATTTTAATCACTTTAAAAACAACAAATATGTAAGAAAAGAAGCACGAACAGGCATATAAACAAAGCACATTAGCAAAAATACAAAAATTTACATTAACACATTAACACTGACGGGATGTATAAGTATACAGAGCACTGTCATATGCATCAAAGAAACACAAAAAGGCATATTGACAAAACACATTAGCAAAAATGAAAGACAAGAATACAAAAATTATTTAAAAACAATAACACAATGACCGGATGTATAAGTACAAAGTCACGTCAAATGGATATCACCAAAAACAGACTAAACAGTCAAAGTTATATTCATAAAAACACATAAAAGATTACTACATCACGTTATTAAGATGATAAACAACGTTAGTACCCAGAATCTATACTTCAAGACCATCGTGTATGATTTGTGAAGTTGATATGGAATATTTATCAACAAGGTCTTGGTACCTTCCGAAGAACTTTAAAAAAAAAGGACGAGACGTTCTATGACATACCCCTGGTTCATCAACTTTCTGCTCAGACACTGATGACGTTTTACAAAGTCTGAGTAGGACCTGCAAGATCTTGAACATGTTGAATACCGAATAAGTTGGGACATGTATATCCCATATGCAGGTGAAGTTGGTATATTTCTACTAAGGTTGGGGAAATTGATACTTTCAAAATTAAAATCGTCTCGTTTGTCATAGATTCTGGTACTAAGATGACCGTGTATGTCAAATTCAAGGTATAAGTCTATTTAAAAAGAGGGACAAATAAACTCATCATAGATACCAGGATTGAAATTTTATCTTTACGCCAGACGCGCGTTTTGTCTACAAAAGACTCATCAGTGACGTTCGAATAAAAAAAAGTTAAAAAGACCAAATAAAGCACGAAGTTAAAGAGCATTGAGGACCAAAAATTCCTAAAAGTTTTGCAAAATACAGCTAAGGTAATCTATTCCTGAGGTAGAAAAGCCTTAGTATTTCAAAAATTCAAAGTTTTGTTAACAGTTAATTTATAATTATGAACATATCAATGATAACTCAAGTCAACACAGAAATGCTGACTACTCGGCTGGTGATACCCTCGGGGATATAAATCTCCACCAGCAGTGGCATCGACCCAGTGGTTGTAAATAAACTCATCATAGATTCCAAGATTGAAATTTTATATTTACGCCAGAAGCGCGCGTTTCGTTTACAAAAGACTCATCAGTGACGCTCGAATCAAGAAATGTGTAAAAGGCCAAATAAAGTACGAAGTTGAAGAGCATTTAGGACCAAAAATTCCTAAAAGTTTTGCCAAATACGGCTAAGGTAATCTATTCCTGATATAGAAAAGCCTTAGTATTTCAAAAATTCAAAGTTTTGTTAACAGTGAATTCATAATTATGAACATATCAATGATAACTGAAGTCAACACAGTAGTGCAGACTACTGGGCTGGTGATACCCTCGGGGAAATAAATCTCCACCAGCAGTGGCATCGACTCAGTGGTTGTAAATAAACTTATCATAGATACCATGATTGAAATTTTATATTTACGCCAGACGCGCGTTTCGTCTACAAAAGACTCATCAGTGACGCTCGAATAAAAAAATGTTAAAAAGGCCAAATAAAGAACAAAGTTGAAGAGAATTGAGGACCAAAAATTCCTAAAAGTTTTGCCAAATACAGCTAAGGTAATCTATTCCTGAGGTAGAAAAGCCTTAGTATTTCAAAAATTCAAAGTTTTGTTAACAGTGAATTCATAATTATGAACAAAAGATACCAGATGGACATTCAAACTAATAGATCAAAAATAAACTGACACCTCTAAAAATGAGGTGGTTGAATGTGTGTCTGTTGTTTCTTTAATTTTTAGTTTTGGTGGATATATTAATGGAACCAAATCAGAAAAGTTTGGATTGTTAATGGAAAGAACATCATCAATATATCTGAATGTAAAATTAAATGACCTGGCTTCTTTGTTCTTCTTGTTTTTGATAAGTGTCCGAAGGAACACTGATTCATATGAAAATAAGACGAGGTCGGAAGGGAGAGGCGCACAACTCGTTCCCATAGGAATGCCGACAATTTGTTGAAAAAGTCTACCTCCAAATCCAACAAATATGTTGTCAATAAGACACTCCGGCATACTGATCACTTGTTCCTCCGTGTAGCATTTGTTACCTTTATGTTCACTATTAACAAAATATGCCGTATGGTATCCCAAAGTAATACATTTATAGCGTATGCTACCATTTTTATGTTGAAAAAAATTATGGATTATTTCTTTTAGACGATTTTTAAATTTCACATTGGGAATGGTGGTATGCAGAGTTGAAAAATCAAAAGTTCTGATAGAACTAATTTCAGAAAAAGATCGAGATTTAAAATTATCCAGAAGTTCTTAAGAGTTTTTTTTTTAAGAATCCACATATGGTTAATACCACGACGCGAGTAAACAAAATTTCTCTAAGTTTCGCGTAAACATTAATCAATAACAAAAGTCATCGTACTATTAAATTTAAGCGGCTATACTTTATTCTTGACATGATTGGTTTTCAATACCTAGGGCCTGATCATTCTAACAGTTGTGGCAATAATCTAACAAAAAGGAAAATGGTATGAATGGATGTTGTTTAAAATCAAGATACCATACCACTAAAAATATAATATACACACCTAGGGACTTTCGTTTAGTTTTCTTTCTGATATTTCGTTTAGGGCTCGGTTCGTTGTCTTCTGAACTCCCTGAAACAAAAACAGAATATAAGCCTATTTTAACCAATTCGAACTGTTTGTCCTATCATTAGCTCTGTAATGGCATGGTGTTAGTCATGTAGATATATTTAACACAACGGTAACGCAAAGTTTTCTCAATTTCATTTATGTCGTTGTAACAATAACAATGTATACATATAAAATGTAAAATGAGTGAAATATGATATCATGTCCTGTAACAATTCTTTCTTAGGTGACACTTATTTTATCAGGTAATTTGTGAAAAGGTTTCAAACACAATGGCAAAAGGCTATGCATTACTTCGTAAATAAATGACCCCCTTTTTCCAACGTGATCTGTTTTGTATTTCATTCAATTTTAAGGTATTTAAAAATATAGTCAACAGGACTATATAGTGTTAAATCGCCTTTTTATACTTTACCAACACAAAGAAAATATTTAAATTATTTTCAAATCCTGTTAAGTCTTATTAAACCGTAAGGGGGTGTTAATATAACAGCAGTGCATCATATATCATCTAACATAGAGGATATTTTTGTTTTATCAGATTTGATTTTGAAAATGCATTTTTAATGCAAAATATTAAGTTTTTGTTTAGTAGAGTATGGGGAATAGAATAATGACACTTGCAGCGAGATGAATCCACAACTGCCATTGCACAAAAAATCGTATACTGCTCTCAGATTAAGGTTCATGTACATGCTAATGAATAATTATATATTATTTTAATTTTTTTTGTAATAAATAATATAAAATTAGAGAGAAAAACTATTGACCAGAGTAAAAATGACATGGACATACATGTTGTAAGCAATTGTAATCACCGTACGAAAAGCTGAGTAACAACACAACATAAAACAAAACTCTCTTAAATCAGTTACAAATGACTTAACTCAATATATCCATTTAAATAATAGTTCTCTCAGTAGTTTCAGCCCATATAAACTAACAAATAGCAGGAATAGATCATGTTCATCCAGAATAAAGTAACAATCAGTTCACAACCAATGCGTTTAGCGAAAAGAAAACGTCATTAACACTCTAAGAAACCCACTTCCTTGTGCGATGCCAAAGTTAATGAAAATATTATAGATAGGATGTAGGATCATGAATACACATATTTCTGCATATAAAGTAAGATATATATTCAGTAATGTGTAATTTGTTTTTAAAACTTTAAAAGCAATATTGAAAGATTTTACTATATTGTGTTGAAAAGACAACCTTTTATTCGAGTTAAGGTAGATGGGGTGTCTAAATTATAATCCATAGAATATTTTAATAATTTGCCAAAATGTAGTTTATATCATGCTTTTTAAAAAAAAATAATAAAAAGAATGGGTCACGGGGCTTATTTTCACGCTACAGATTGTGCAAAATTGACAGATTTTGTATAGATTATGCATGGAAAAACCAATTTTCTGCCATAAAACGAAAACTACACCATAGAATTTTGAGATAAAATATGAGAAGATAGCTCTACTAGTATGCTTTCAGATAAGAAAAAGAAAAAATGGGGTCACGGGACCCGTTTTCTTGCTACATAATAAAATAGGTAAATTCCTAACACATTCTATTGTAAATGTAACTTTATCTGAATTATCTGCCCTTACATTTGAGTTGCCTCCCCTTATGTGGCAAAGTTGGAAAAAATAGAATCAAACAAAAGTATTCTTTTTTTTTTATAAAATACAACCATAAATATGATAAAATAGATCATTTTCTATATTGAAATGAAAATTCTTACACATGAATTACCTACTACTCTCAAAATTTGCACCTTTTATTAAAGATCTAGACCGATTGTTTTCTGGTATTTCTAAATCCAAGATGGAGGAAGACACCCTATCTACCTTAATCCGGAGGATCATGACTTCACATGCATTATGTATCAATCTACGGGCTTTACAAGAAAAACATGACCGTACAGATAAGAATTTATAATCCTGTTTGTGGTACGAATTTTAAAGTTACATCCAAACTCCATTTCGAAATCTTTGTATTTAGGAATGAATTGTGTACAAGCTTTTTTGCAATGCAAGTATTGATACAAACAATTTCAAGGATTTTAATATTGTGTTAGATTTCTAACCTTTCAAAATAAGTGTATTAGAAAGACCGATCAGTTCACAAGGATTGTATCTACATTAACATGATTAATGCGCTTTATAATAATCATCATTGTACAAATTAGGATGTAATATCCTGCTTTTAGTACTAACTCTAAGAGACTAGAACACTTTTTTACAGAATCGTTGTATTTATGTAAGAATTTGGTACAAGATTTAAAGTTAATTGAAATGTATTACTCGACCCCAGACAAGTGACACCATGAAAAGAAGCCAAATGAATCTCACGGCCTAAAAGAGAAATGTTCACAATGGACTGACAAGGTCAAGTCTTGATATTTCATAACATCGTCTCATTTATTCTACAACGATGTTTCAAATCAAAATCGGCAGTTTTACACGATTAAAATAATAAATTTTAAGCATGGGAGATGAAAGCTATGTTAAAAAAAAATGAAATTATAAAGGTTGCCTATTATGAAATACCTTTTGTTATATTGCAACATTTCATCATTCAAATAAATCATATTAATATGATTGAAACCAGGCCAAATAAAGCAACAGACATAGTACACATCTGTAAGTTTCGGAAATATGCGTCTAGCTCAATAAAGAACTGAATCAATCTAAATATCCAACGATCTACACAATGAGTTAACATGAATAAAAAAGAACCGGTATCTTACCTTTACATTCGTTATACCAGTCACTTGTTTAACCTGGCATATTAGAATAGCAGTTTCGATTATCAGATGTATTTTTATAGCACAATTCACTTTCAAATGAATCATCATCCAATTCACTGCTTGATTCTGTTTAACAAAATTGAAAAATACTTAAGAATAAATTGTGAACGAGTTGAAGAAACACCAAAACAGTTAGTGTGTTGAATACTTATTGTTTGTAGAATTTGAAGGCAAATGATACCGTCAAAATAACCTCTTAATCTAACCGGTTAAAAATAAATGCTTGCTATTTTAAGAATCTATATTTCAACATATTTGGCAAAAGAGACATAAAAAGAACAAAATTTAGTACATTAAGAATTTCAACCTTATTTTGTAGAAATTTTTGCACAGACATTTTGTGTCATATATCGTATGCAATGACCCAATATAACATGGGAAGTTATTATTGTAATCATATGGCTATGGTAATATGAACATTGAGTAACTTACCTGATTGGTCTGTTTGAATTTCGATTATGTTTGTGTTGCATGTTGATTTTTTGTCGTCAAAAACGACTTTATCTAATTCTGCAAATAAAAATTGCATTGATTAGTCTGAAATGTTCTTCAAATAATATATAATATTGTCAAATCACGACGACAAGATTTAGTGCGGTAAGATCGATCAGCCCAGTGCATTCACGTCAGATGACCTTTGCTGCAACTTGTAGAAACTGTTAACTTTGTCTAGGAACGATTTTTCCCTTTCGAATGTGCATTTATCATGTTTATTTTAATGATATGGTAATTCTTAAAAAACAGTTTATTAGATCTCTCTGTATAAATCAATTTTCTTTATTAAAAAAGAGGTGAAAGGAGCCGAAGGGTGAGTCAAAATAAATAAGTAGGAGTTAAACTGTCAAAATCATGGAATTAAAGGGAAAACTACGAATTGACAGCCAAAACACTGTATGATTAAACACTGACTAACAAGACCCTACTAAAAATATTAAACTAATGTAGATGTACTTTCTACGAAACAGGAGAAAAGCTCGACGAGGCTCACTTTTCAGCTTGTTTCTAAGGCTCGTACAAATAACTTTCTACCTTATTTTGTAGAAATTGTTGCACAGAAATTTTGTGTCATATATCGTATGCAATGACCCAATATAACATGGAAGGTTAAAATTAAATTAAAATAATAAATTTAAAGCATGGGAGATGAAAGCTATGTTAAAAAAATGAAATTATAAAGGTTGCCTATTTTGAAATACCTTTTGTTATATTGCAACATTTCATCATTCAAATAAATCATATTAATATGATTTAAACCAGGCCAATTAAAGCAACAGACATAGTACACATCTTTTGACATTTTTACCTATTGTGTCTGTTTGTTTTGTTCACGGATTGTTGTCAATATAATGGAATTTGATGCGACTGTTATACAAGTGAGAGGTTTAACTAGCTATAAAACCAGGTTCAATCCACCATTTTTTACATAAGAAAATGCCTGTACCAAGTCAGGAATATGACAGTTGTTATCCATTCGTTTGATGTGTTTGGCCTTTTGATTTTGCCATTTGATTAGGGACTTTCCTTTTTGAATTTTCCTCGGAGTTTAGTATTTTTGTGATTTTCCGACAATGTACATATATTGTATTTATACTATTTCAAGTAGAAAGACCCAGTAATATAACGTTGTTTGTAAGCATACTTATGTACATAAAGCATCTAGTGCATTGAGGAAAGATCCAGTCATTAGTTGTTTTGAATTTCAAAGAAACATAGACAACACCGATGATTGTTTACGATTTCTCCTTGGTAAGTATAATGGAAGTGTATGTTGAATTTCCAAGTAACTTGTAAATACCTTCTTCTTTTATCGAGCTGTTTATATATTTAATTCATATAATTTTTTTTTAAATCTTCTAATCCTGTTAGGTTGTTTCTTAAAACTATTTTAACTACATGTTACATTTACCGTATTGTGTAAATAACTGTCAATAAGATTTGTATTCCAATAGTTTATAACACATGATACATCTTTATTTTCAGCCATTAATAGTTACCGCTATGTGTTGCATTAATATCTAATAAAATAACGTACTTATGAATACAAACGTCGCGTTGGCCTTGCACATGTTGATTGGAGATTGAAAACAAATATCGATGTATGACTAGTGAACAGGGTATACTACTGTTGCCTTTATCTGCTATCCATTAAAATATTAGTCTTTCAAATGGGTTTTGGATGAAGAGAAGGCAACCTTATTATTACTAACACTTAATAAACATGCATAATCCAAGCACTATCAGCAACAAACATGCATAGCTAACTCATGTTACTTGCATATGGACAAGCATTGTCAAATCGGGATCTGTTCCTTTCTACTACCTTTATCGGTGCAAAATGAGGTACAAATATAAAATTTATTTTTAAAAATGGATTCTAGTTGTTTTAACATAAACATCAAATAAAAAACTTCAAGGCAATACCCACAATCACGCATTCATCCTACTATAGTTGTATAAAGATATACATGTGGTAAAATTTAGTAACCTAAGTAACTGTTAGTCATCTCGTTTTCCTTCTTTGGTCGGGGAGGTAAAATAGGTGGACGTTCTGTTGGAATGTGTCTTTGGCTGTTCACATCTTCAATAGATTAAAACAAAATATTTTTTCAAAAAATGGTACTTATTATTAAAATTCAATGCAATACAATACAAACTTTAATAAAAGCAAATAAGCAAACATTAATCATTGATTGCGACTGATCTTTTTATCGTCAAATGCAGCACATTCTTGAGATTGTACTTTACAGTACACCTATAGACGGATAAAAAATCTTTTATACATTTTTTTACCATTACAAAACTGTTCGTCCGTTCGTCTGTTCGTACGTTCGTCCGTCTATCCAACTTCAGGTTAAAGTTTTGGTCAAGGTAGTTTTTGATGAAGTTGAGTCCAATCAACTTGAAGTTTAGTACACATGTTCTCTATGGTATGATATTTCTAATTTTAATTCCAAATTAGAGTTTTTACCCCAAATTCACGGTCCACTGACAATAGAAAATGATACAAGTTGTTAGTGTTAGCATTTTTATTGTATAGACCAATGGAAGTAGGTTCTTAATATTAAGTTTTGAAGACTTTTAATCAATTTGATATGCTACTAGTCTAAATACCACATGTTAAGATAAATTCGTTATGCAGTGTGTGAGTTACCAAATACGATATATATAGTATTAGGTCATTAGCACACGATGTAACTAATATTTAATGCCCAACATAAAGATTACATTGGACAAGCTGGGAAGCTAAGACCATACTTGTCCACAAACCGTCATCAAAAACTTACAACAAATTTCACTTAGTAAACACTTAGACATACGCGCTAACGGGAAATTAAAATGTTTCCCTTTCTATATATGTCGTCGTGATGGTGGTGCGTACAGAAAATTACGTAAGAAGTGCCTTTTAAAAGCAGAGCTTTACGCGTAAATATAGTACGCAATTTATCCACTACAATAACGTAACGTTAAACTACCCGCAAGGAAATGTTACTTACACAAATGTAGTTATATATCTTGAAAAGTCCCTTTAAATGAGGAAAATGTTAGAAAATACACATATTTAAAAATAAAAACGGGAAAAAAAAACAAAAATTCAACTGTTTGTTTCAATGCCAATATATATGTATGTATACATATAAAAATAAGAAGACGGGGTATGATTGCTAATGAGACAACTCTTAACAAAAGACCAAATACAGTGTATCCTGCCTAATCCGACACCTGAGTATTCCAACATCCTGCTTTAACCGACACATTTTCTGGTCCCAAATTATGCCTATCCTTGCAGAAAAAACCTGAGTATTCCGACACCCTGCTTAATCCGACATTCTATTCTGGTCCCCCAGTGTGTCGGATAACACAGGTTACACTGTAACATTAAACAAGTATAGGTCATCATACGGCCTTCAACCAATCAGCAAAGTCCATACCGTAAAGTCAGCTATAAAAGGTCCCGAAATGACAAATGTAAAACAGTTCCAACGAGAAGAGTAATGGCCTAATTGAAGCACAAAATAATAAACGAAACACAAATATGTTACACAGCAACAAACAGCAACCACTGAATTACAGACTCCTGATTTGTTACAGGCACACATAGAATGTTCCAGGGTAAAACTCGTTTGAAAGCATCAACCCTCTTCTAACCTGGGACAGTGTAACAGTACGACATAAGAACAAACTACGAAAATCAGTTTTAAAAGGCTTAATTATTCAGATGGATACAAATAGAAACACATCTAACAAAAACACAAAGTTGACGTGGACATGTACTTATACATCCCCCACAACAAAAAGACATTAAGTACCAATCAGAGAGTACTGACAGTTACTGATAACTAGTTCATAGCCAATAACAACTATTTGTTGTTTAAACCATGCATCGTAGACTAAAATATCAATCAGTACACATGCAACTTCAAATGTATTTAGTGTAAATACGTCAAAAACAATCAGGAAAATCGCGAACTTGTGATATGTATATATCAGTCAGCAGGGTCTAAGAACATCAGTTGTTCGACCTGTTAGTCAAATGCGTTTTGTTAAAATATACTTTTTCACTCATTTGGTCTTTTGGAAAATGTTGTTTGTGCTGTATTTAGACCCCTCTATCAAGAAATTTGTTCTGCATGCACACGTATAAAAATTGCGGTTTTTATCCAACGCAATCATAGGTTTGAACGTTGTTTTCAATTTAGACTTGTTTATATTTTTTCGTTTGGGCTTGTATTATATTTGCCTTCGAGTTTATATGATCCGTTCATCCTATTTTGACACTTTCAAAATTCAAGAGTCTATCCTAAATTGAGGTAAATTATATGGCCTTCCAAATACCGTTTCGATTCCTAACATCACTGAAGAGACATTAATTGTCGAAATCCGGATATGGTGTACAAATTTTTGCACCTCATGTTTGCGGTATACCATCTTTTCCGCAAGTTCATTGTTTTCTGTTTGGTAATAGATTAATAATAAGATCTATTTTGTTACGCTTGTGATCCGTTTATTTGGCAATCGCAAATGGCAGTCAGCAGGGTCTAAGAACATCAGTAGTTCGACCTGCTAGTCAAATGCGTTTTGTTAAAATATACTTTTTCACTCATTTGGTCTTTTGGAAAATGTTGTTTTTGCTGTATTTATACCCCTCTATCAAGAAATTTGTTCTGCATGCACACGTATAAAAATTGCGGTTTTTATCCAACGCAATCATAGGTTTGAACGTTGTTTTCAATTTAGACTTGTTTATATTTTTTCGTTTGGGCTTGTATTATATTTGCCTTCGGGTTTATATGATCCGTTCATCCTATTTTGACTCTTTCAAAATTCAAGAGTCTATCCTAAATTAAGGTAAATTATATGGCCTTCCAAATACCGTTTCGATTCCTAACATCACTGGAGAGACATTAATTGTCGAAATCCGGATATGGTGTACAAATTTTTGCACCTCATGTTTGCGGTATACCATCTTTTCCGCAAGTTCATTGTTTTCTGTTTGGTAATAAATTAATAATAAGATCTATTTTGTTACGCTTGTGATCCGTTTATTTGGCAATCGCCAATGGCAGTCAGCAGGGTCTAAGAACATCAGTTGTTCGACCTGCTAGTCAAATGCGTTTTGTTAAAATATACTTTTTCACTCATTTGGTCTTTTGGAAAATGTTGTTTGTGCTGTATTTAGACCCCTCTATCAAGAAATTTGTTCTGCATGCACACGTATAAAAATTGCGGTTTTTATCCAACGCAATCATAGGTTTGAACGTTGTTTTCAATTTAGACTTGTTTATATTTTTTCGTTTGGGCTTGTATTATATTTGCCTTCGGGTTTATATGATCCGTTCATCCTATTTTGACTCTTTCAAAATTCAAGAGTCTATCCTAAATTAAGGTAAATTATATGGCCTTCCAAATACCGTTTCGATTCCTAACATCACTGGAGAGACATTAATTGTCGAAATCCGGATATGGTGTACAAATTTTTGCACCTCATGTTTGCGGTATACCATCTTTTCCGCAAGTTCATTGTTTTCTGTTTGGTAATAAATTAATAATAAGATCTATTTTGTTACGCTTGTGATCCGTTTATTTGGCAATCGCCAATGGCAGTCAGCAGGGTCTAAGAACATCAGTTGTTCGACCTGCTAGTCAAATGCGTTTTGTTAAAATATACTTTTTCACTCATTTGGTCTTTTGGAAAATGTTGTTTGTGCTGTATTTAGACCCCTCTATCAAGAAATTTGTTCTGCATGCACACGTATATAAATTGCGGTTTCTATCCAACGCAATCATAGGTTTGAACGTTGTTTTCAATTTAGACTTGTTTATATTTTTTGGTTTGGGCTTGTATTATATTTGCCTTCGGGTTTATATGATCCGTTCATCCTATTTTGACTCTTTCAAAATTCAAGAGTCTATCCTAAATTGAGGTAAATTATATGGCCTTCCAAATACCGTTTCGATTCCTAACATCACTGAAGAGACATTAATTGTCGAAATCCGGATATGGTGTACAAATTTTTGCACCTCATGTTTGCGGTATACCATCTTTTCCGCAAGTTCATTGTTTTCTGTTTGGTAATAAATTAATAATAAGATCTATTTTGTTACGCTTGTGATCCGTTTATTTGGCAATCGCCAATGGCAGTCAGCAGGGTCTAAGAACATCAGTTGTTCGACCTGCTAGTCAAATGCGTTTTGTTAAAATATACTTTTTCACTCATTTGGTCTTTTGGAAAATGTTGTTTGTGCTGTATTTAGACCTCTCTATCAAGAAATTTGTTCTGCATGCACACGTATAAAAATTGCGGTTTTTATCCAACGCAATCATAGGTTTGAACGTTGTTTTCAATTTAGACTTGTTTATATTTTTTCGTTTGGGGTTGTATTATATTTGCCTTCGAGTTTATATGATCCGTTCATCCTATTTTGACACTTTCAAAATTCAAGAGTCTATCCTAAATTGAGGTAAATTATATGGCCTTCCAAATACCGTTTCGATTCCTAACATCACTGAAGAGACATTAATTGTCGAAATCCGGATATGGTGTACAAATTTTTGCACCTCATGTTTGCGGTATACCATCTTTTCCGCAAGTTCATTGTTTTCTGTTTGGTAATAGATTAATAATAAGATCTATTTTGTTACGCTTGTGATCCGTTTATTTGGCAATCGCAAATGGCAGTCAGCAGGGTCTAAGAACATCAGTAGTTCGACCTGCTAGTCAAATGCGTTTTGTTAAAATATACTTTTTCACTCATTTGGTCTTTTGGAAAATGTTGTTTTTGCTGTATTTAGACCCCTCTATCAAGAAATTTGTTCTGCATGCACACGTATAAAAATTGCGGTTTTTATCCAACACAATCATAGGTTTGAACGTTGTTTTCAATTTAGACTTGTTTATATTTTTTCGTTTGGGCTTGTATTATATTTGCCTTCGGGTTTATATGATCCGTTCATCCTATTTTGACTCTTTCAAAATTCAAGAGTCTATCCTAAATTGAGGTAAATTATATGGCCTTCCAAATACCGTTTCGATTCCTAACATCACTGGAGAGACATTAATTGTCGAAATCCGGATATGGTGTACAAATTTTTGCACCTCATGTTTGCGGTATACCATCTTTTCCGCAAGTTCATTGTTTTCTGTTTGGTAATAAATTAATAATAAGATCTATTTTGTTACGCTTGTGATCCGTTTATTTGGCAATCGCCAATGGCAGTCAGCAGGGTCTAAGAACATCAGTTGTTCGACCTGCTAGTCAAATGCGTTTTGTTAAAATATACTTTTTCACTCATTTGGTCTTTTGGAAAATGTTGTTTGTGCTGTATTTAGACCCCTCTATCAAGAAATTTGTTCTGCATGCACACGTATATAAATTGCGGTTTCTATCCAACGCAATCATAGGTTTGAACGTTGTTTTCAATTTAGACTTGTTTATATTTTTTGGTTTGGGCTTGTATTATATTTGCCTTCGGGTTTATATGATCCGTTCATCCTATTTTGACACTTTCAAAATTCAAGAGTCTATCCTAAATTGAGGTAAATTATATGGCCTTCCAAATACCGTTTCGATTCCTAACATCACTGAAGAGACATTAATTGTCGAAATCCGGATATGGTGTACAAATTTTTGCACCTCATGTTTGCGGTATACCATCTTTTCCGCAAGTTCATTGTTTTCTGTTTGGTAATAAATTAATAATAAGATCTATTTTGTTACGCTTGTGATCCGTTTATTTGGCAATCGCCAATGGCAGTCAGCAGGGTCTAAGAACATCAGTTGTTCGACCTGCTAGTCAAATGCGTTTTGTTAAAATATACTTTTTCACTCATTTGGTCTTTTGGAAAATGTTGTTTGTGCTGTATTTAGACCCCTCTATCAAGAAATTTGTTCTGCATGCACACGTATAAAAATTGCGGTTTTTATCCAACGCAATCATAGGTTTGAACGTTGTTTTCAATTTAGACTTGTTTATATTTTTTCGTTTGGGCTTGTATTATATTTGCCTTCGAGTTTATATGATCCGTTCATCCTATTTTGACACTTTCAAAATTCAAGAGTCTATCCTAAATTGAGGTAAATTATATGGCCTTCCAAATACCGTTTCGATTCCTAACATCACTGAAGAGACATTAATTGTCGAAATCCGGATATGGTGTACAAATTTTTGCACCTCATGTTTGCGGTATACCATCTTTTCCGCAAGTTCATTGTTTTCTGTTTGGTAATAGATTAATAATAAGATCTATTTTGTTACGCTTGTGATCCGTTTATTTGGCAATCGCCAATGGCAGTCAGCAGGGTCTAAGAACATCAGTAGTTCGACCTGCTAGTCAAATGCGTTTTGTTAAAATATACTTTTTCACTCATTTGGTCTTTTGGAAAATGTTGTTTTTGTTGTATTTAGACCCCTCTATCAAGAAATTTGTTCTGCATGCACACGTATAAAAATTGCGGTTTTTATCCAACACAATCATAGGTTTGAACGTTGTTTTCAATTTAGACTTGTTTATATTTTTTCGTTTGGGCTTGTATTATATTTGCCTTCGGGTTTATATGATCCGTTCATCCTATTTTGACTCTTTCAAAATTCAAGAGTCTATCCTAAATTGAGATAAATTATATGGCCTTCCAAATACCGTTTCGATTCCTAACATCACTGGAGAGACATTAATTGTCGAAATCCGGATATGGTGTACACATTTTTGCACCTCATGTTTGCGGTATACCATCTTTTCCGCAAGTTCATTGTTTTCTGTTTGGTAATAAATTAATAATAAGATCTATTTTGTTACGCTTGTGATCCGTTTATTTGGAAATCGCCAATGGCAGTCAGCAGGGTCTAAGAACATCAGTTGTTCGACCTGCTAGTCAAATGCGTTTTGTTAAAATATACTTTTTCACTCATTTGGCCTTTTGGAAAATGTTGTTTGTGCTGTATTTAGACCCCTCTATCACGAAATTTGTTCTGCATGCACACGTATATAAATTGCGGTTTCTATCCAACGCAATCATAGGTTTGAACGTTGTTTTCAATTTAGACTTGTTTATATTTTTTGGTTTGGGCTTGTATTATATTTGCCTTCGGGTTTATATGATCCGTTCATCCTATTTTGACACTTTCAAAATTCAAGAGTCTATCCTAAATTGAGGTAAATTATATGGCCTTCCAAATACCGTTTCGATTCCTAACATCACTGAAGAGACATTAATTGTCGAAATCCGGATATGGTGTACAAATTTTTGCACCTCATGTTTGCGGTATACCATCTTTTCCGCAAGTTCATTGTTTTCTGTTTGGTAATAAATTAATAATAAGATCTATTTTGTTACGCTTGTGATCCGTTTATTTGGCAATCGCCAATGGCAGTCAGCAGGGTCTAAGAACATCAGTTGTTCGACCTGCTAGTCAAATGCGTTTTGTTAAAATATACTTTTTCACTCATTTGGTCTTTTGGAAAATGTTGTTTGTGCTGTATTTAGACCCCTCTATCAAGAAATTTGTTCTGCATGCACACGTATAAAAATTGCGGTTTTTATCCAACGCAATCATAGGTTTGAACGTTGTTTTCAATTTAGACTTGTTTATATTTTTTCGTTTGGGCTTGTATTATATTTGCCTTCGAGTTTATATGATCCGTTCATCCTATTTTGACACTTTCAAAATTCAAGAGTCTATCCTAAATTGAGGTAAATTATATGGCCTTCCAAATACCGTTTCGATTCCTAACATCACTGAAGAGACATTAATTGTCGAAATCCGGATATGGTGTACAAATTTTTGCACCTCATGTTTGCGGTATACCATCTTTTCCGCAAGTTCATTGTTTTCTGTTTGGTAATAGATTAATAATAAGATCTATTTTGTTACGCTTGTGATCCGTTTATTTGGCAATCGCCAATGGCAGTCAGCAGGGTCTAAGAACATCAGTAGTTCGACCTGCTAGTCAAATGCGTTTTGTTAAAATATACTTTTTCACTCATTTGGTCTTTTGGAAAATGTTGTTTTTGCTGTATTTAGACCCCTCTATCAAGAAATTTGTTCTGCATGCACACGTATAAAAATTGCGGTTTTTATCCAACACAATCATAAGTTTGAACGTTGTTTTCAATTTAGACTTGTTTATATTTTTTGGTTTGGGCTTGTATTATATTTGCCTTCGGGTTTATATGATCCGTTCATCCTATTTTGACTCTTTCAAAATTCAAGAGTCTATCCTAAATTGAGATAAATTATATGGCCTTCCAAATACCGTTTCGATTCCTAACATCACTGGAGAGACATTAATTGTCGAAATCCGGATATGGTGTACAAATTTTTGCACCTCATGTTTGCGGTATACCATCTTTTCCGCAAGTTCATTGTTTTCTGTTTGGTAATAAATTAATAATAAGATCTATTTTGTTACGCTTGTGATCCGTTTATTTGGAAATCGCCAATGGCAGTCAGCAGGGTCTAAGAACATCAGTTGTTCGACCTGCTAGTCAAATGCGTTTTGTTAAAATATACTTTTTCACTCATTTGGTCTTTTGGAAAATGTTGTTTGTGCTGTATTTAGACCCCTCTATCACGAAATTTGTTCTGCATGCACACGTATATAAATTGCGGTTTCTATCCAACGCAATCATAGGTTTGAACGTTGTTTTCAATTTAGACTTGTTTATATTTTTTGGTTTGGGCTTGTATTATATTTGCCTTCGGGTTTATATGATCTGTTCATCCTATTTTGACACTTTCAAAATTCAAGAGTCTATCCTAAATTGAGGTAAATTATATGGCCTTCCAAATACCGTTTCGATTCCTAACATCACTGAAGAGACATTAATTGTCGAAATCCGGATATGGTGTACAAATTTTTGCACCTCATGTTTGCGGTATACCATCTTTTCCGCAAGTTCATTGTTTTCTGTTTGGTAATAAATTAATAATAAGATCTATTTTGTTACGCTTGTGATCCGTTTATTTGGCAATCGCCAATGGCAGTCAGCAGGGTCTAAGAACATCAGTTGTTCGACCTGCTAGTCAAATGCGTTTTGTTAAAATATACTTTTTCACTCATTTGGTCTTTTGGAAAATGTTGTATGTGCTGTATTTAGACCCCTCTATCAAGAAATTTGTTCTGCATGCACACGTATAAAAATTGCGGTTTTTATCCAACGCAATCATAGGTTTGAACGTTGTTTTCAATTTAGACTTGTTTATATTTTTTGGTTTGGGCTTGTATTATATTTGCCTTCGAGTTTATATGATCTGTTCATCCTATTTTGACACTTTCAAAATTCAAGAGTCTATCCTAAATTGAGGTAAATTATATGGCCTTCCAAATACCGTTTCGATTCCTAACATCACTGAAGAGACATTAATTGTCGAAATCCGGATATGGTGTACAAATTTTTGCACCTCATGTTTGCGGTATACCATCTTTTCCGCAAGTTCATTGTTTTCTGTTTGGTAATAAATTAATAATAAGATCTATTTTGTTACGCTTGTGATCCGTTTATTTGGCAATCGCCAATGGCAGTCAGCAGGGTCTAAGAACATCAGTTGTTCGACCTGCTAGTCAAATGCGTTTTGTTAAAATATACTTTTTCACTCATTTGGTCTTTTGGAAAATGTTGTTTGTGCTGTATTTAGACCCCTCTATCAAGAAATTTATTCTGCATGCACACGTATAAAAATTGCGGTTTTTATCCAATGCAATCATAGGTTTGAACGTTGTTTTCAATTTAGACTTGTATATATATATTTATATATATATCCTTTGATCTCACCTTCATATAAACTAGTATTGCTTGCACCAATACTCATCTGTGAATATGATTGCGGTAATGATTGACCGTTGTATATTGATAGTCCTTCATACATATGACGACCTTAGATATAAAAGAAAATATACTTAAACGACTATTCGTTCATTTTATTCATTTATTGATACGTTAGTGAATGGAAAATATTTGGAAGAACTTATATTGTCGAGAAACTACTCTGGCATGTACATTTAAATTGTTAATGTTAGTACAATATGTCATAGAGGTCAACTCTGCTAACTTCATTTCATTTAAATTACAGGGACCTTTCCTCAATTTTATCATACCATAAACAATATAGATGTCACATCAGACACATATTTAATATATAAAATGCATTGAAAAAACAGGAAAGGAGACTACATTCAACAATATACGTTTTCATACATACACATTTTGAAGGTTTTATATAAGTATCAAAGCACTGTTAAACGAAGAGCCAAAGGAGTTTACAGATATTGAAATATTTAATTAAAACTATACAAATCAAGATTACAGAAGAAACAACAACTAACAGAATCACAATAATTGCAAACGTATCGAGGAAAATGCCGTGCTAAATTATTGAATTATTTAATTATTTAAATAAATTAAATTATTAAATTATTATAAGCCTGGTAGCTTTGATAACTATTGAGATTGATTGACTAAGTAAGCGTTTATACCAGTACGGGTATTTATAAAGAGACAAATGTATGCCTACAATGTATATCTCTCCTTTTGACAAACGTAATTACATTGTTTATTCTTCAACATCTTTTGATTTGACATTTGATACGTGTACTTAGTTCAATGTATAAATTACAAGTAGATTGACGTGTTTATATTTCATAAAAGAAATATGCAAATATGTCTTTGAAATGATATGTTAAATATACCATCTTGGTAACGCCTGTCGTAAATATCTGGTTCATTGATTTGGTCTGGCCAATTTGCATATGACTGTCTGTTTCTGGTATGTGAGAGAAAATGTAACAATTTGATTAGCCATAAATCATTATTTATTATGAAACTTCATCAAATGCGTTTGTTATTGGGTACTGGGACATATTACGTTGCGGTAAATCTTTTGATAAACAGAAGTAACACGAGCTACTGTAATTTCTTTCAACTCCTACGGAAAGTATAGAAAACTTATTGCATTTTAACCGATTGTTTTAAGCAGATGTCATTGTATGTGTTATTGATGATAATATAAAGTAGATTTGCATGTAACTGGTTTTTTTAAGTAGAATATAATTATAGACAGCGTGCCTAACTAAACAGACAGAAAACTACGCATTTGAACGTTTTCGCAACACACTTCTTTTTTTTTATATAATTGCTTTAGAATTCCCAGATTATAAATTAGATACGATTTTTCCCGATTTTCTTTAACACCAAATGAAGGAGTAGGAATAGTATGTTGGGGAAATTATATGTGTAAGTTTTCTTAAGAGATACATAATCTGCTTCCAAATGTCTCAAATTTTTGGTTATCCAAGAAGAATACCATATCAGAAAGTTAAAGAGGAGCAGCCATGAATGTACTTACTGAACGTTGTTAACAAACGAGATCCCTTCTTGGAGCCTTTCTGTCCATTCCTTTTAATAGAAAATAGAAGAATCAAGTACTATTTCTTGGACATTTTTGAAGTAAAAGGGACGACTCAACTAATTTATTACAATCAATAATCAGTTAAAAGTAACTTTTACAAAATAAACAAAAATGACACAACACGTTGAATAATTTCATCAGGCACGCTGAACGCCGAATATATGAATGCCGAGAATGTTTACGTACCGCAACATTCGAAAAGCTACAAGACAAAACACAATATATACATAACAAATAACAAAATCCATCTAAGGTCAAATTTGCCTAAGGCAGTTGAAACCTTAGTTTTCATATAATTTCAAAATTCATAAGCGGACAATATTGGAAAAGGTTTGTTATAAATCATGTCAGTACCGAAGTACTGACTATTGAGCAAATGTACAAATACTTACTAACCGGACACACACTGGGTAAACGCGCGTTTAGTCGAGTAGACATACAAAAAATCAATTCTTACCGCGTTATTGTAATCACAGTTAACAACCGAAATACGTACACGTGGCTTTAATGTACGTTCACCTTAAGGAATGCCTGTCTTGCACCTAACTACACTTTCGATCGAAATATTATAAAACCAAATATTTAAAAAAAATAGTATTTAATTAAAAATGTATGAAATATAAATACATACTGAAATTTTTGTATCTGCTGAGTACTATTTATATATATATATATATATATATATATATATATATATATATATATATATATATTATGACTTACATAAATGAATACGTACATTTAACTCTATCTCTGATGACGTTTTAAATATTTTCGTCTTAGATTCATGATGGACTAGTTTGATTACCCATATAGTTTCTTTCTCTGTAAGTATTGGTAGCTCAACTCTCTACACAAATAAAGATATAATATCTTTATTCGTAAGATCATAATATCTTAAAATTTTAACTAGAAACTATGCCAATGCACAAATAAAAATACCCTTACAATAATTTAAATGGTATGGGATTTGCTCATTGTTGAAGTCCGTACGATAACCTATAGTTGTTCATTTCTGTGTCATTTGGTGCAGTGTTATCTCATTAGCAATCATCCATGATCTTCTTTTTTCATATTGTTTTGTGAAGAACTCCATAAAATACTTTGTTGCAAGAAAAAATAGCGTCCTCGTGATGCTTTTAAATTTATTTTCTCTGTGAAAATTGAGCAGCTCAGGGATTTATCCATTTCGAGTGAAAAAATGAAAAGTATGCACCTCAACATTTCGTTTCAAAAATACATTTCTTTTTTTCTTGTTCTTAAAATATATGATACAGTGGAATACACAACGTTTTTATTACTGTTTTTACTTGAGAAAGATTCATTTTTTTTCTTACAGTCTATTCATTACTAATAACTAAAATTCATAACCCGAGCTTCTTGTCTTTACTGTGATGTTTCAAACACTATTTTCACGCATTTCTGACATTATTCCAAAATTATGATGTCTTAGGATGGCTTAAAACTGCAATTTTGGTACATCATAAAACGCTTTAAGTAAATATGATGAAAACTTTAAAAACACTTTCCCAAAGCAGTTTAAGTTTTTTTTATATTTTGATACAGCTTATTCGAATTGATTTCGATTGAGGATGTTTTTATATGCAAAATTTCAAAACAACAAGTAAAATGTGCCATATTGCATCAAAAATGAATCAACAACAATATAAAGTACTGCACAACTTCTTCTATTATTGATTAGTGTAAAATTACAATAACGTTTTCGTTGTATGTACTTACATATTAATACTAAAGTTCTTGGAGCTTTTAATATCCTTTGGTTTTAAATTGATGGGATATTTGATGATATACGTGTACATAATTAGTAATAAAAACCTTGAAACAGTCATGAAGTAAAATCATCACCTTGTATATCCATATAAGGAAAAAGACAGGTCTTTTAAATGATTCGTACTGTTCTCATTTTTGAATATATACATATGACCTCTCATTAACACTGTGAATTTCTTTGATCCTATGTGGTGAAAAAAGTGTATGAGCTTAATATTTAATGCACAAATATTATCAACCAATTGTGCCAAAATATCATTTTTTTTATATATTAATCATTTTTAGTAATGTTGATATTGCAGTTCAAGTTATCATGTAGAAGAACCTTCGCGTATCATTCTGTCACTAGAGTATTTAACAATTATTTTCCCAAGTCAAATGAGGTTGTAAACATTATAGAGCCACCTGTGATAGGAATCATTTGAATAAAAACATTTCTTTTTGTTATATTTCGAAAACGCAGAAAAAGATTTAAATGAAAACAAACCTTTTTTAAGCAGTATCTTACAGTTGAGTTGGAAGGCTCATAAGATATTTCAATTGAATTTTACTTTTTGATAATTCAATATCTTTGCAAGGGGTAAACACTATATGATCCCTTTTAGATATATTTATATTTATTTCGTTGACTTACTCATGTTACTATCTCAATGAAGTTTCGTCAAACCCACTTTTTTATATATAACAATCAATTTTTTTTACTTAAAAGTTTAAGTTTTAAAAATCACATTGATTTGTGATGAATAAACTTACTTGTATTCTTAAGTCTGATCCATCCATAGTATTTCACACCTAAAGCAAGCAGGCTTTGACAATCTGGAAAATGGTCATTCATTTTTCACTTTCAAGAAACATAAGCAAACAAACAATCATCTCGTTGGAACATTTGAAGAGTCTAGTCATTCCATTAAACTTTTACTTGAATATAGTCTTATTTGCCTACATGGTATGGTTTTCCTAAAGTTACCATCAGTTTAGAACTTGGTTCTTGCATCCTTTTTTTAAAGTACGTGTTTTATACACTGAAAATGATTGTACACGCGTTTTTGTTTGCTGAATACCATGTCATCAATAATATTTAGAAAATCACTTTCAAATACTACGCCATTCTTATTGTCCTTTAGTCTATTTACTGTGGGACATCTAGTATATTTGTATATAATAATGACATAACTGTTTGCATTAAATGGTGCATTTTAATTAAGCCTCTTCTTGTATTCCGTTTTAACTATAGTGATATAGTGCAGCCCCGGATATTCTGTTCCATTCTTGAATGTTTTGCTTAATATGTTCAAAACGTATGCTGTTTTTAAATGATAGGCATATCGTTTATTTCAAAATTTTTACTTTGGTTTTAATGTTATCTTACCGATATTCCCAAATGGTCGACGACGTCTTATTTGATTCATTGTCAATGCAGAAATTGAACTGTCGTTTTAAAAGGAAATTTCTGTAAAAAAATATTATTGAATATAGCAAATGACAATAAAAAGAAACTGGTGTTTGGTTGATCGTTTATCTTAAGAGAACATTTAAATTTAATTAAAACATGTAATCAAAGTCATACTAGTCATGGCTCAAATAACACAGCAGATGCTGAATAATGCTACTACTTCTACCTCCTTTACAATTACTACAGTAACTACTTCTATTAGTTGATCTTTTTCTGCAATTACAAAATGATATAATAAAACAAGACACATAGTTAACAAGACATACAAACATTTATAATAAACGTCGGAACTTGAACCTGATAAGTAAAGAAACCGGCATCCTTTATTAATTTTAAATGTATGTTTGTTAATAAAAGGCGTAATATTCAACCAAATGTAAAACACTACACTGTCCTTAAAACTTATTTTAATTTGAAAATACCATCAATGACGTAAATTTTTCAAACCCTATACACAAACATCTCAAAATTATTTCATTATTTTTTTATTGAATTAGAACAGTTATAAAAAAAAATCCAAACTTTATTTAATTGCGAGAACAGAAATGCAATATTTAATAACAAAATGAGGTAACTGAATGAAAACAAATTCCATCAATTGAAATACTGATCATGCTGATATGCAACGACAAATTAGTATCACATACAGTTTGTCCCTATTAAAATGCACTGTTCAAAATTTGACCAATATTACTGTTAATTTCATGAATACACAAACGACTGAAAAAAGAAACAAAACACAAATTCGAAAGATAATTGAGATTATGTTTTACTTTTTACAGTCATAATTTGAATAGCTATACCTTCGTCTGAGAAGTATCAATTAAACCATTTAGTTATATAAGGATTATTAAGATGGATAAATATTTCTTTGAAAAATGAGCGCGCTGCGATGTCATATCTAAAAAGTGTGTTCACCTGTAGACATGAATTTCAACTTATATATAGTCTTGGTTACTTTAATCATAATAAAGTTTTATGGAACAGACTATATATACATCTTGAAAAAAGTATCGCACCACCCTGATTTTTCAAACAAACAAAATACGATAAGCAATATTATTATTATGGTCCAAACGTATATAACTTACTAGTAGTCCATGTCGTTGCTGACAAAACACTGGCATTAATTAAAAAAAAAATAAACAAACATAATAAATCTAATTAACTAATTGTTTTGTCAAACAAAATGCAAAAAGGCAGTCATTGGTACTAAACATTGATAATGATTAACATAGGATACATCGAAGAAGAAAAGTTCAATAGCACAATTAATTTCTTTTGAAAAGGGACTATATGCGTAAGCGGTTACAATAAACATGATAATGTTCGATACCGAGTAGAACCACCGCTCGCGCGAATCGCCGATGCTACCTGTCTTCTCAGTCCTTCGATCGAACGTTTAAATTGGGTTTTGGAAATCTGTGCCATTCCTGACACATAGGTTGAGTTATTTCAGCCAGATTCTGAACTGATGGTACTATCTCACATACAAATATAATTATGTGTCAGATATGCTAACTTGGGTTCATATCTGGGTTCATGGCAGGCAGTGGAATAGTTGTAATGGCTTTCTGGTGTTATCAGTCGATAACTGCATGGGTACAGTGAGGTGCGACGTTGTCATCCATGAATATTGGTCTTGTCTGCAGAGGATGGTTGTTGTATGAGGAACTACAGCTGTGTGCTTGACTTATCTCATTTATCTCTTGCTCCTTTGACTATTAATGCCTACTACCGTTATGAGATTAAGCTTGCAGTCATCATGGTCATATGACGAAACCCCACATTTTGTCCATACCATTAACAACCTCTATCGAAAGGAACTGTCTACAGTATGATCTTTTCTGCATATGCAGTATTAGGTTTTCGCCTAACCAAACTCGTTTATCTGTAACATACAATAAAAAGCTGCTCCCATCAGACCAGTGAATTTTTCCAGCGACGATAGGCACCATGCCAAAGTCTGTGTCTGTTCATTAGCCAATGGCTCTTTTTTGGTCTTCTTAGTAGGTGTTATATTTCTCTAAGACTTTGAAGGGTTCTGCTTGACAATACATGGCGGGGTAACCACTGACTTTTTGGGTTTTGACTGAGAACGGGTATTTTCTTACCAGTCTTTCCACAGCAGTATCTTTTCGTGGAAATGTTTTTTTCTGGGTCTCCCAGCCCTTTGCTTGACTTAAACAGTATTCGTAAGTTGGTGCTTCATTTCAAGACGACTTGTGGTTGTGTGATGGTGTCAGATCTGCCTGGCAGTATGTCTAAGTAACAGCATTTCACATCTCATTTCTCATTTCAGAGTTGACCCATGACTTTTTGTAATTCAAATTGTAAAACTGTATGAGTTATAACAGATTGCAAACGTGGTAACACTAGTGAGTTTTCTCCTAGTGAGTAAATAATGCACGTGCAAGTTATTACGGGAGACAAAAATCGATTTGATACCGGTAGGATATCAACAAAGGTAAACATGACCCATATAACTATATATTAAAGATAGTAAATTATTATTTTCCAGGGAATATTTACTGGTACTGGTCATTTGCATAAGGTGGTTCGATACTTTTTTTTCATGTGTATATTATCATTTGAGTAATGACATTCTAAATAATTGTTAATATTTCTTAAAGAAATGATAAAAAAGTTCAAATGTTTTAAATGATGTTTGCCTCAAGTATAGAAATGTTCTAATATATTTGCGAACATTGTATTTTATCGTATTTAACACAAACGAAATTTTATAAACAAAAATGGGAAAAGGCATCTGAACTTAATCAAACTATTGAGGACAGAAGGCTTAAACACTTGTACGGAGGACAAATGTTTCGTTTGCATAAGCGGTCGTGCCAAAACAGTTGAAAGTCCTAATATATATAAGTCAAAAGACATTACAAACTAACATTCTTAATCTATACGTCAAATCTTGCAAAGGTCAACAATGTATGAAACTAGAACATTTTTTCTCGAGTGATCATAAAATGTTATGGACAATTAAGTTACCAAAAAATATCACAACAATAATATTTCATATGAGGTAAGCGGCGCAAACACTTGACTTGTAATACCTTCGGAGACGAAACTTTTTAAGGTCAAAGTACTAGTATAAGATTGTTAAGTGATCATGTAATGACAATATTGTAAAATGACAACTGTCAAACAAATACATTTTTTAATAAACTATAATAATTTATCACTCATTGTTTATCATTGTGATCAAAGATAATCTTAGATAAACACTCGTGGAGAGAGAATTTCAATCAAATCAACACAGTGGTCAGGGACCGGAAATGTAACGTGTAATTACACGTGTATTGTGAGATCCCCGAGGTCATGTTTTGACATATGTGTATTACTTGGAGATAAAAAATGAATTTTGAATGCCTTTGTCAACCTTGGGACCGTAAATTTAGTTCGAGTCAACCGAAATTTCGACTCATCCAATTTCGACTCATCAGGAGTCGAAATACATACATTTGTAAGTAATAAAGTTCGGGACCACGGGAAAACTTCGACTCATCCGAAATTTCGAGTCAACCGAGTTCGAGACAACGAGAGTTAACTGTAGTTGAATGAGCCTGTAAAGAAATCAACAAGGGGACTGTGCACGTGGCTTCGATAAGATAGATCATAAACTAAAACGTATTAAATGATGATTTATTTATTTTGAACGAGATACCTAAAATCATGCAAATGGTTGGTCAAAAGATATACATTTGTACTTGATTATTTTAGCAAAGACACTTACTCTAGTTGCTTTAACTAGAAATTTCCTCTCTTATATGTATAACTGATACTTTGAAAGCATCAGATTAATGCCATAGGTAGTAAAAATGTATCTGTTGTATTTCACATATGGCTGTTCACAATACTATAATTTTCATAACTCGCACGCATTTTGAAAATGTATAGCTCTTGAATTTCTACTTTCGAGAGTATTGTTTCGATTTAAATTAACATAGTTTAACCCTGTCATTTGTTTATGTGTATTTTCCTTTTCAGTAACATCGTCATTGGTTGTATCGTGTTATATCAATGTTTAATTGATGTACTTACAGAAAAAAGCATGACAGTATAGGTATTTTCCATTATTGATATATAAATATATACACATCATTTTCATGAATGAAGTTAGTTAGATTTCCAAAATAATAATCTTTTTGTGTAATGTGTCAAGGTTATATAAAACATAGATATATATCTACATTATCACGTTTACTTAATATGCATTACAGAAATTGATACTTCAAAAAAGAAAGCCGTCAACATGGTCAATGCTATTATGTTGAAATGGTTTACCACAAAGTTACATTATTATCTTTAACTTTAAAAAAAATATCAGTTTTTGTACACGTATAAAACATGCCTGTCTTTATTCAAATGACTGCTTTAGTGCTCTTGCACTTTACTCATTGATCATGTAAATTTTGATCGAAATACTCTTAATCAGATAAAGTGTTTAAAACGGATATACACACATTGAATTTAACAGGTTTATAACATCGACTGCAATTGCATTGTTTCAACGTTTCAAATGAAAATTACTGGCGTTTGAACATTTACATAAAATTATGTAAACTGAGGTAATTTTGATAGTTGCACAAATTTATGTATCTGGAAAAGTGTGTTTCTCTAAAATGTACATAATATATTATAATTTTCATGTTATTCTTTGTTCATTCCTATTTTATTGCATATATAAAATGCATATTTGTCAACATTAACGTCCTATTTGTGCTTAAATGCAGGCTATTTAATATTACCGCCAGATAAGTTGTTAGTAAGTTAATAACATAATCAACTGTATCAAATCATTTTAATTTGAATTTAAGAGAGAGAGAGAGAGAGAGAGAGAGAGAGAGAGAGAGAGAAATAGAGAAAGAGAGATTTTTGATAAGGGAAGATTTTTATTTGAATTCCTAGACTCATTACAAAACAGGGGCCGGATTACCATCTTTTTTCTTTAATCACTTGATATGTATAAATCACAAGCATGCACCTGATGATCAGTGATGAAGAAGCAGTCAAATCGTTATCAAACATTTGTGTTTATAGATACATCATTTTATAATGACATCGATACAAATTATAAATGCGTCAACTGCAAAAGTTGGGAAATGTATTTGACGTGGTAAATTTTCCATGAATTTTAATACAAATAATTCATGTAATTGTAGCAAACAAAACTTAGTGTATTATAGGTTACTTTTATGTTTTGAAACTTTTATCAATGCAGGTAAACATACACGTTTCTTTTGTAAATTACACCTTTATAGTATTTTTTTATCAGATTCAGAGCAGAAGTCTGTTTTCAATTTCGGGTTCAGGTATAATATTCGCATCGTCGGTTTACTATAACTTTTCGTGTTTTTGTTAGTTTGCAAATATATACGGCAAACCAATGTATGTAAAAGAAATATTGTTTCGACTTACACTACAGTATTTGCGTCTTTGTAAATTCTTCTCTCTGACCTTTTCCAAATGTTCTGTCCTGAGAAGGTGGATAGTTTACATTCGCTGTGTTTTAAATGGTTTCAGACATCACGTGGAATTGTCTTTATTTTAAACTATCCAATCATAAAATTTTACTTTTCATAGATTTCTCGTTTGAAAAGTAAACTTATACTGAGGTGAATTCTAAAAATAAAACAAATGACAACTTGATAAATCGGTCCAATATTTACGAATCTGTATACGAGAAATATCAAGAGATTTCAAATACAAACCAAAATATACAAAAGATACATCTCAATGTTTAGATTTCTTATCATGTCAACCCTCACACACTAAGAGAAATATAGATTCCATCACTGCAACAAGTGTGTTACGATATTTCTCCCTTCGAGACAGTTACATTTTAGTATTCAAAGCACGAGGCTTACCGAGCTTTTTAAATAGTTAAAACTTAACTGTTGAGAGTGGATAAGTGGAGAAATATCGTACTACACGAGTTATAGTGTTGAAATGTGTTTCTTTAATGATTTGTATCCTTATTTTGCAAAGATTTCCAGATAGCTCTATTCTTTATATGTGACGTGGGACCTCGGTGGCCACGTTGTCTTAATAGTTCTACTACTGCAATAACTAGCCAGTCAACACTGAGGTTGTAAGTTCAAACCCCGCCCCTTCGGGTGCACTCGACTCCAATCTTAATTGACTAGGATTGTCAGTTTTCCTATCGAATGTCGGTGGATTTTCCGGGCACTCCGGCTTCCTCTATCAATAAAAACTGGCCTCCACAAAATAGCCCAAAAGTGGTGCTAAAAAGTGGCGTCAAAACACCACCAATCAATCAATAATAATACAATATTATATATTTTCTAACCATAACAAGAATATTAAAACGGAATTCTGGTTTTAATTGTGTTATTATTTGTATTTTCTAACCATGTCAGTTTTTCGTCTAAATCAAAACTTATGTTTCGTTTATTGTTTTGTACATAAATCATGCAATTTGTTTTCTCGTTGGAATTGTTTTACATTTTTATATTGCAGGACTTTTATAGCTGACTATACGGTAAGGTTTTGTTCATTGTTGAAGGCCGTACAGTGACCTATTGTTGATAAGTCATTTGGTATCTCGTGGTGAGTTGTCTCATTTTCAATAATAACATATCTTCCTTTATATTTATATGTGTTCTTTACACACCCATACATTTATTTGAATTTGACTCAAGTGACTTTTTGTCAGATACTCACGTTTTTTTAAATGCAAATATGAGTGCAAATTAGCACAATTAGTTGAATATGATCTTTCGACCTCGTATATGCGTTTATCCTAAATATATAGATTACTCATGGACTCATGATAACTTCAAACGTGTACACGACAAGATAATGGGGTAATCATAACAATACTATAAAACAAAAAGGCCGTTTTATCAGAAAGATTTATGCATCTCCCTATTTTCAAAAATCATATATGTCAAAAAGCATCTGTTGGTTCGTATGGTTAGTAAGTTATCGTATTTCATCAGGAGTACCTAATTTGTTTTGCAATTAATTTTGGAATTGTCAATATTTTAGTTATTCTTATGCATGAATATTTTCATTTTTTTAACTGGTTTATTGTTTTGCAAATTATGCAGGATTTTTAGATGCAGTATAAATAAACCATCCTGTCCATGTTGTATCAACACTTTTCCTCAAAATAAACTGAGAACAACTAACCCGAATTACACATCTTTCTACATTTATTTGTGTTCTTTACACACCCCAATATGTAATGAATGTTCAGTGGTTTATTTAAATTATGTTTTAAATATGTTGTCATATTTATAACAAATAATTATGTTACTCGCTACCATAATCTATAATTTGGTTTTACAATTGATAATTTTCTTCAATCAGCAGTTAAAAACAAATGTGTTCGTTTATCGTTTGAATTGTTTGACATTTGTCATTTCGGGGCCTTTTATAACTGACTATGTAATTATGGTTTTGCTCATTGTTGAAGGCTATACGGTACCTGTAGTTGTTAATTTCTATGTCATTTGGTCTCTTTTTGGGGGTGTCTCATTTGAAATCATACAGCAGTATACTACTGTTGCCTTTATATACCACATGTACATCTTCTTATCTTTATATTTAAAACGCGAAAGACGTTTAGTATCCTAAAATCAATATAATATTAACATTCATCAATAGTTTTTAATCTTATAGACTTCCAAACATTATTTGCAAATTTGAAATATTTTATTTTCTTGCGCCAAAACTGGGCATTAATTACCCTTCTTCTTTGTAAGTAAAACTGATTTTATCATTTTGGACGAACGCACTATGTAACCCTGGAGAAGAAAATCCGTTTGCTGATTTTAAGACAGAATATGTTAATATACATTGTATTAACAGTTTATATTTTAAATATTATTACTAATATCAAATTTCTGACAACTCCATGAAAATGTGGAATAAATGTTTTAGTAAATCAAATGCAAATCAAAATAAACATAGGCTATATGTACGCAAAATATCTTCAAAAATGTATGTTCTTAATTTCTCTTTTAATTAACTCTAAGAAGACATATACATATTGTATAATATAACATGTATAATGCCACGATGTTATCCTATAAAGTCCGTAGAAGAAAAAAGAATTATTTAGTTAGAGCATACATGTAACTAATTATAGCCCTAAGACTATTTGTATACGGATAATCTTATACATGTAACAGCTTTCATAAACAGTTGAAGCCGTTTGTCAGTATACGTATAAGATAGTCATGACGTCTGTCATGATATATATATACATGTATGTGAATTTCAAAAACCAAACTCTAACGCAAAGAAACTATAGCTGATTGCATGAAGTTTGGCGTTGTTCATTCTGCCCTTTCTAGGTTGATCGAAATGTTTTATTTTAGACTTTAGTGCCTCTGTTTACGACAGGCTTTCAAAAGTTTCCTTAAAAAAGATAAAATCATGAACATGTATCTTCCTAATGTGTTAAATCCGATAATCTTTTTCTGTTGGTTGCATTATTGTCACCTCAAATAGTGCGCTACTTTTTCCACCTACCCGTGATAACCCGTGCGTGGATTGTGAAAAAAGAAAAATACAAAAAACAAATAGAATATATGAACAATGAGCACATGGATACAACGTTTTCACGTTTTAGAATAACTAACTAATGTGAGTAATTAAGAAAAAAAAACATTAATCAAAAACGGATATTTTGATTATCACAATTTTTCCAAAACGACTTGATCATTTCAAAATTGTACAGATTTGTCTGCTTCAGTTTTCTTTAAGTCTATGACTTCAGCAAGTGTCAAGAACACGCTGTTTCATGTCAAATCATCTCAAACATGTCTTTATCATTAATATCTTTATTTCTTTTTATTATTCTAGTACTTTAATATCTATATTTTTGAAAACGTCGAATTTTATATCACATGTAATCCATTATTTTCTTCGTAAGAAAATGCCTGTACCAAGTCAGGATTATAACAGTTGTTTTCATTCGTTTGATATCTTTGGGCTTTTCAGTTTTGAGTTTTCCTTGGAGTCCGGTATTTTTGCTATTTTACTTTTTGATTGAGACTTGTCAAAATTCAATATAGATATTCAATATGACGACTTTATATTTTAAGTATATAGTAAATGAATAATCATGGTAGATAAGAAGTCCAAAGACAAATTCTTGTTTTTTTTAATAACCTTTTAGATACGATGCTTTAGTACTTTTTCATCACAATGTTGCAAATAAAATTTATTTCGTTAATGACCTGAAAAAATGAATGCATATTTTTAGTTCTTAAATCGTCATGCTGATATCTATTGACCTAATAACCAAATAAGGATTTGCTTGTGGGTATATTTTATGATTGCTGCTGCACTATTTCGGGGGTCTTTGTCTACTTTGTAAATTCATCATGACATAGACCTTCAAATTAAAATTAATACATGGATAATAGTTTATCATCGCTATTTTAATACGACCAATATATTGTTTTCTCTCAATTGTTGTTAAATCAACTTGTTTAGGAAAACTCAAAATAAACATAAGTATTTTTCTTATGTCACGTTTTTTTTTTTTTTAACTATGTTGCAAATGAAATTTAACTCTCGTTAATGACCTGAAAAATTGAATGCATATTTTTAGTTCTTTTAAAAATCGTCATCCTGTTATATATTGATCAAATAACCAAAAAGGGATTTGCTTGTGCGTACGTATTTCGATTGTTGATGCACTATGTCGGGCGTCTTTGTTTACTTTGTAAATCTGTCATGACATAGACCTTCAAGTTAAAAATAATACATGGATAATAGTTTATCATCACTATTTTAATACGACCCATATATTTTTTCTCTCCATTGTTGTTAAATCAACTTGTTAAGGAATACTCAAAATAAACATAAGTATTTTTCTAATGTCACGGATATATTTAGACTATGCAAAAAGTATAATCACAAAAATACCGAACTCCGAGGAAAATTCAAAAAGGAAAGTCCCTAATCAAATGGCAAAATCAAAAGCTTAAACACATCAAACGAATGGATAACAACTGTCATATTCCCGACTTGTTACAGGCATTTTCTTATGTAGAATGGTGGATGAAACCTGGTCGTCCGAACTTAAAGTATTTCTACTCGAAATTCAATAGGCTATTAACAAAGCAAACACAACTATAGGATTATTTGCTCGCAGTAACATATCATTTTCTCTTGCGATACAATATTTTATTTTACTTAATTGTACAGATTTCTTCAATTCAAACAACATATAAATACATGTAATAAACATAGCAGCAACTGTATATATACTAATGTGAATAACGTCGATTCGACGTAAATACATTTAAATGCCAAACTTTATATAGTACCTTAAAACCCTACCCGTAGAAACCGCCAAAGCTTTTCTCGTGCCTTATGCACCTAACATCAAACTTTACAAATAGTAAGTACTGTTGCAGAACTAGTATCAGATCTAGTTATACTAGTTCCCATCTATATATAAGTACTACAAATAGCAAACCGGAAAAGCC